CTCTCTCTCTCTCGTTCTAGCTCTTCGCTATGAACGCCCTTCGAATTACAGGAGTCAATTTTATGAAGTTCAATTTTGATTTCTTTATTCATTCCAATTCTAAATCTTAAGGTACTTGGCTATTCTTGGTTGGCGACGCTAAAAGACGAGAAAATGTACTCTCAAACTTTTTGCGGAATACGTAGGAACGAAAAGATATATTCATAATATTTGCAATCATTCCAGCATTTGTAAAATAGCCCGAGCGTACTTCCCTTTTACTCTAACAATTAATAAATTACTGTAAAATTAATGCGATCTATTCTCTTAAGTATCTTCTTCATGATTATCACGTTAATTTCACAGTTATTTATTGATTGTTAGAGTAAAGAAAGTGTCCAGGCTACTTCAGAGGTTTACTTGATCGATTGCAAATGTCATTTTGTGATATCTTCATATTTTTACGTATTTTGCAAGAATTTTGAGCATGTGTTCTCTCGCTTTTGATGTCATAAATCAAGATGGCCGCGGCGAGTATAGCCTAAATTTTAATTCCAATTTGAAATAAATAGATTCTGACTCTCGAATTTCGCTTGGTTGAGATTGGCAAAATAAATCGGACGAGAATGGCAAGCTTCGCGTCGTTCCTTTCGCGCGCCATGGGCTTTACGGTTTTCAGTTAATCGCAAATTGGAAACGCCCGTGTGGCGCAGAACTCGAGATTCGAGAGGGAGATACACACAAGCCGGGCGCATCGCGCGTTGCAAATGGCGCGGCGTCGCGGAAAGTCGCAGTCTAAATTTAGAGAAGCGCGAAACACAATATTACGAATACAGCGGCGCGGCGAGAGATGAGCAGCTGCGGCTCTGTAATTAATCGGAGCCAACGATGGTCTGTCTGTAATTGGATCCACTGCTGCATTACGGCGCAGCCGCGATGAAAAGTAAACAAGCTCTACGTGCACAGCCATGCTCCTCCTCGAATCCTCGATTGCACCCCCCTCGCCGCGCGGTATATTCATCATCCATTCGAATGTTGCAAACCGGAGCTGTCTGTATGTGTGTACGTGACTATTTTGTGACAAAAGCGACACGTTAATGCGCTCTGCTGTCTCGCAACTCGGAATATCAGGATTGCATATATGACTAGTCATTTTCCCTAGCCATGTGCTCTAATCGAGAGTTACTAAAAATTTTCGACTTAAAACGCACTCGTTTTTAGATAGTCAAGGGTCGCGCGTTTATTATTCGAAGGAACTGCGACGATGTCAAGCAGCTATGACACTTGGACTGCTTGATGTTTCGTTTGCGTTTACACAACTAATTGTGTGGTTGTGCTGCAACCACCGAACAGTTGCTGAGTTACAGTGACGACATCTAGTTGCTACAGCTAGAGTGGTGTCCGTAATTAATGTCACCCCGACCGATTTCTGCTTGCCGGGTCACGCGCAACCACATTGTCGTAGTTGACGTGCAAAAACAATTGAGTAATATCAATCATACGTTTTTGGTCATATTTTCTGCATGTAAAATAGTAGTAGTAACATGCGTATAAAATTATTATCATTAACTAATAGAAGAATTTAATAAAAAAAATTGTTTCCACAATTTATAGTAATAATTTTTCTATATGATTATAGTTGCAAAGACCAGACATTTCTTCCTCGGTGTACACATTACTACCACGCAAAGATAACCGATGCAACTCTGTACCGTTCACAACTCAATGTTTCCGGTTATGTGCCATACCTTCTTTTTCTCCTTCGAATCTTTTTTGTACTAAATTATTGTCGCCGCGCGTAAATGATAATCGACTCGCCGAAACGTTATCGTTGACGGGTCAGCGAGAACGACCATGTCGAGTAGGACGTCGCCTGTCCTTTTTGCAATAACGGGAGCGACAGAACCACGGCAGAAGACGGGCGCGGCGAGAAATGAGCAGACAGAGAGGAGAGCACTTCGCACTCTCGACGCAATAAAAACTTCCATGCCGAGCGCGCGATATTTATCGCTCCTTCCGTCCCTCCCGCTCTCCTCAACGTCGCCGTTTGCCTCGTGCTCGTCCGCTTCTTCTTCTTCTTGGTCTTCTCCCTTCATTGCCACGGACTCCGTTTTTACGGGATTTCACGGGACTTTTTGCCAGCGCTACTCCCCCTCCCCGCCGAGTCGCGAGAACTCTTTCTTTCCCCTCGCTCAGCCCTGCTCTTTTTTCAGCTCGTCTTTGTCCAGCACTGACATAACTCTCCCTTGCACGAACGCCGGTTATCTCGACGATATTTCTGTCGGCCGTGCAATTTTATCTGCACCCGCCGATCTGCCGAACGCGCCTCCGGACAATATGGCCGACGACGGGCGGTCAGCTGTTCGAGCGCCTCCACCTCGCGCATTCCCCGCGTTCTGGCGAATGTCGGCGTGCCGACAGCGCTT